CTTTATGATTTGGAACAACGAAAAAGTTTAATATCTTCTATCTAATCTCCAATATCTATCAATAAAGTATACTGTGATTACCATGTAATTGATATTTTGAATTGAGGTCCAACAATATGTGGTTAAAGAAATCCTTTGCCTAATATGAATAAATAATAGGCATCATCATTTTAAATGCAATAACTATTTAAACAGTTGCAATTATTTCAGGACAAACCAAAATATTGATAATAAGAGTCATGTTAGAACAGTATTGGGCACCAATCCCAACAGTTAAATTTAGAGTGCTTGAAAGAGATTGTATCACTTCACTTAACACGTAATTATTTTGAGATGGAACTCAAACTTCCAACCAGTACTAGATATATGCCCAAATAACTTAACAATCAGGATGCACAAGATGAGTCCCTAGTTGTTATCGAAAATGTTACTGATAAATCCCACATCGAATAAAATAAAGAATATTAATCAGCATATTGTTGTAAATGATGAGTTTATTAGTGAATGACAATTGTATTCCTGCAACCCTAGAAATTATTAACATTGTTCCATAATCATTTCCTATAAATATAGGGTTTCAGTTATTATTACAATACACACAAATCTATAAACTTTTATTTTCTTTTCATTTATTCTCTCTTTTTACAACATGAAATTATAAGATACAAAATCTGATTCATAGCTCAAGGTTTCTTACAAAAACTAAGAATTGATTATAAGAAAACATATTCTCCCGTAATAGACACCATCAATTTTAGATTCTTAATTACTTTGACTGCATCACAAATGCTCGATATGTACCTTATAGATGTAGTGACTGCCTATTTGTATGGTTCACTTTACATATATATATATACACACACACGTATGAAAATTCCTGAAGGACTTAAAGAGCGAGGAACAAATGATAAATGTCGAAGAACCATATTCTCAACTAAATTGCAAAGATCGTTATATAGATTGAAACAATCTGGAAGCATGTGGTATAATCGCCTTACAAATATTTGTTGAAGAAATGCTATAAAATGTCGATGTCTGCCATGTGTTTCATAAAGAAAACAAATATTGGATTTGTAATTGTAGCAACTTATATTGATTATTTAAATTTAATTAAATCTTTTGAAGAGCTCAACAAAAATGCAAATTATTTGAAAAATGAATTTGAGATGAAAGATTTGAAAAAATCAAATTCTGTTTCAGGTTACAAATTGAACATTTTCCAAAAGAATTATTTGTTCATTAATCTACATATATAGAAAAAGTTTTAAAACGCTTTTATATGAATAATGCACATCCATGGCATAACCTATGGTTATTCGATCACTTGATCTGAAAAAAAGATCCTTTTGATCCACGTAAAGATGGAGAAAAAATTATTGGTTCTGAAGTACCATGTATTGGTGTAATTTGAGCGTTTATCTTGTAAACTATATTCGACCCTACATAGTTTTTTTTGTAAATCTTATTGTAAGATATAACTCTACACTGAGACAAAAACATTAGAATGGTGTTAAACATATTTTTCGTTACGTAAATGGTACTATTGTGATTATTTTATTCTGAAAATCGGGATTTGTTTTAGTGGGATATGCAGAGACAGGTTATCCCTCTGACCCACATAAAGCTAAATCACAAACAGAATACATGTTTACCGTGAATGAGCAATATCATGGAGATCTGCGAAACAATCATTGACAGTAACATCATCAAGTCATTCTAAAATTATTGCAATCTATGAAGCAGGTCGAGAATGTGTATGGTTGAGTAACATGACCCATCATATCCAAGCATCATGTGGGTTAACTTCAACAAAATATAGTCCAACAATTTTATATACAGACAATGATGTTTGTATTGCACAACTTAAAGAATGCTATATCAAAGGTGATATGACGAAGCATATTCACTACAAAAAAAAAAAGGGATTTC